CAACACAAAAAATCATAATTAAATAATTGATAAACTCATGAATATTTATTTACCCTACATCCCATTCTCTAATTTACATAATTAATTCATACGTATGATAAAGTCAGTTACAGGATCACGTGCAAAACCGGAAATATGCACATGGCGGGAACTTCTGCTCCGGTTTCGATTGTTATTTATGGAAAAAACGGGAAAACCAAGAAGCTATTATTAGATGAGACACTGAATGGGGAGGAGCCATTTCAGCAAGGTCAAACCAACAAGTTCAATGTCAAGGCCGATGACGTAGGCACTGTGAGTGGTGATGATAGTGATAATGACGGTGCTGGTAGTGATGATGATGATGACGGTGATGATGACGATGATGATGATGATGTCTGTACGAGTTTTTGTAATTATAATGCATAAAGAAGGAATTTGAACTATACCATATTCCTAATTTATTCTTGATTGTTTTTTTTCAGTGTCGTTCACTCATTCATTTGTTTGTGTTTGATCGTTCATCCATCCATCTTTTATTCATCCATTCTTTTTTTCATTCATTCGTTCATTCATTCGTTCGTTCGTTCGTTCATTCGTTCGTTCATTCGTTCATTCATTCATTCATTCATTCATTTACTCACTCAGATAAAGCAGGTGCGTCTGTTCCACAGCGGGACGAAGATGGGAGGTGGATGGTTCTTGGATGAAATGAAACTAACGTCTGACACCTTTGAAGAGGTCATGATGACGATGATGATGATGATGATGGTGATGACGATGAAAACAATAATAATAATATTAAGATGAAGAAGAAGAATAATAATAATGAGGATGATGATGATGGTTGTGGTGGTGGTGATGTTGTTGACGGTTTTATTGATACCAGTGCTATTATTTTGTCGTAATCATCATTATCACCACCACCATCATCACCACCACCATCATCACCACCACCATCATCATCACCACCACCACCATCATCACCACCACCACCATCATCACCACCACCACCATCATCATCATCA